AGTATATTAAGACATTTCTTAGGAGAAACATGAATTTGTGCCCAGAGTTAACTGGGTTTTCCATTGGCACATAATAAAATTCTTTTCCCTGAGAAATGCAAAGTTTGCAGTTACATTAAAGCACTAATTTGGGTTAAGTAATAGGAATATTGGTATGATGCTGAAGTGAATCAGAAAAAGCAAAAGACACATCAAATACGGTTCCAGCACTAAAGAGCTTAGATTTTTGTGCAAATAGTGACCATAAGTAAATAATCTTCATGAAATAAACACCAAAAAATTTTGAAGAAGACTAAAATTTTCTATTTTTTTTCAGTTGAGAAAATGGAAAACTAATTGTAAGACCTGGAAGTAGAATTGAGACTCATATACGTTTAAAGTAAAATCCATTGTTTCTGAATTTTTAAGGGTGCGCTTCATGAGCTGACAATTTGTGGAAAAAAAATGAATATGTAAGAGGAAAATGAGAGATTTAGGAAAACGTGCAGTTAGTGCTTCTTGGTTGGTGCAAAGCTGCCCTAAGAAGGTTCTTGGGTCTGTAACTCTTAGCTTTAGGATGAGTACAGTCCTAGAAATCTGTTTCGTCAAACTCTGGAGATTAATGTTTCACCAATTACATACGTAAATCACTTTAGATCTGAGTAAGTTGCCTGCTTTTGGTGTTTTGTAGATATGATTTCTAGCAATCAGTAAAAAGCTAAAAATTGTGGACCACGTCATAGGCCCAGACACTTCAGTGAGTTAAAAGTCAAAGACTATTATTGATAGTTAGGGTTCATCTGTTTTGCAAGCAACGAAACCAACTCTGGCTAATTTAAGAGGAAATAGGTTTATTTGAAAGGATATAGGGTGAATAAACACCAAAGTCTCTGAAAGGAACCAAACGGGCGGCTCAAAGGACCTATGTGACAGGAGGCCTTTGAGGGTCTGCCCGGAATACGGGTGCCTAAAGCATGGTCTTTCTGCCTTCACTGCCCACTGAGAGGTTGCATGGGCTCAGCTGCCTGTCGTTCCATAACCACCCCTAGGCCAGAGGAGGGTGAAGAGTATTGAAGGATGTTTTTACTAAGACTTAAGTAGAGATAGACAGTGGGTCCACAAAGGAAATAGAGTTATTGTTACAAAAGAAAAGGGAAGAGATACCATGTGCATAGAAGCAACAGAGATCTTCTACAGATGGTAATGTAATTATTAATAGTGGAAGTGAAGAAACAATTTGAATTCAGGAATCCTCTTCCCGTCACTCTTGCCTTGCAGATGGTGAGTTCACAGAATGACGGAGTGTGGTTTGCATGATTATGCCACATATTTCCTGTAGAGTTCATTGAACAGCGTATTTGATGTACCCACCAAATACTAGTAAGTGCCGTAGAGAAGAATCATATTATGGTTCCCAACCCTTCAGTGTAGTCAGGAAAAACAAAAGCTACACATAGAAAGGAAAAAAATAAAAGGCAGCGTAAGAAATATTCCAAAGCCAGACAGATGAGCTTCCCCCCAAAAAAACTTAAGCTACAAGAAAAACAGCAACGAAAAAGAAATATTCCGAATGAATATTGTGGGCAGTGTGTTTTATAGGAGTTTAAAGTGGGAGCAGAACACTTAGCAGGACAAGGTTTATGGAGAACGTAAGTCTTGGTTGGGACCTTGAAAGATGAGTAGAATTCTGGGCAAGGTAAGAGGTATTTGTGGGGCGCTGTAGAAAGCTCATTTAGGCTGGAAAAGAAGGTGCATGGAAGTGATGTAGTGGGAGGTAAAAAGAAGTAGATTGTTGTCTTACAGGCAAGGTTTCAACGCTAGCTTGTTTAAATTTTCCAGGGGTCAGGTGTTGGAGTAGTTGGGCAGTGTTTCATTCA